TTTGGGTAGACACCCAGGAATGAAATTGTTGGGTTGTATGTAATTTTTTTTTCTTTTTTTGAGATAGAGTCTTGCTCTGTCACTCGGGCTGGAGTGCAGAGGCACGATCTTGGCTCACTGCAACCTCCACCTCCTGGGTTCAAGTGATTCTCCTGCCTCAGCCTCCTGAGTAGCTGGGATTACAGGTGCCCATCACCACGCCCGGCTACGTTTTTGGTATTTTTTAGCACAGATGGGGTCTTGTCACGTTGGTCAGGCTGGTCTCGAATTCCTGACCTCAGGTGATCCGCCCCCTCAGCCTTGTGAAGTGCTGGAATTACAGGCGTGAGCCACTGCGTCTGGCCCACATGTAATTTCATGTTTACCATTTTGAGGGACTACTAGACTGTTTCCAAAGTGACTTCACCATTTCACATTCCCATCCACAATATCGGAAGGGTCCACTTTTTCCTCACCTCACTAACAGATGTTATTATCGCTCTCTTTTAAGTTATAGCTGTCCCAGTGGGCAGGAACTGGTATCTCATTGTAGTTTCACTTTGCATTTCCATAACGACTAAGGAGGTTGAGTCCCTTTTCATAAGCTTATGGGCATTCATGTATTTTCTTTGGTGAAATACCCATTCAAATCCTTTGCCTGTTAAACATTTTTAAAGTTTATTTTATGAATTTTTTTTTTTTTGGATATAGGGTCTGTAGCCCAGGCTGAAGTGCAGTGGCACAATCTCAGCTCACTGCAACCTCTGCCTTCCAGGTTCGTGATTCTCGTGCCTCAGCCTCTCGAGCAGCTGAGATTACAGGCATGTACCACGACACCTGGTTAATTTTTGTATTTTTTGTGGAGACAGGGTTTCACCATGTTGCCCAGGCCGGTCTCAAACTTCTGATCTCAGGTGATCTGCCCACCTCAGCCTCCCAAAGTAGCTGTGAGCCACCTGGCCTAAAAATTTTTTAAACATTTTTTTATCGTGGTAAAAAACACATAACATTGAATTTACCATCTTACCCATTTTTATGTAGTGTCCAGTATATTTATACTGTTACACCACACATCTCCAAAACATTTTCATTTTGTAAAACTGAAACTCTATACTCACTAAACACCAATTCCGTATTCCCTCTCTGCCTAGCTCCTGGCAACCACGTTTCTACTTTCTGTTTCTATGATTTTGGCAACACTGGATACTTCGCATAAGGAGAATGATACACTACTTGTCCTCTTATTTCACTTAGCATTACATCCTCCTCAAGGTTCACCATATTGCAGCACATGACAGGACTTCCTTCTTTTTTTGTGAGGTGGGGGTGGGGCGGGGATGGAGTCACCAGGTTGGAGTGCAGTGGCACGATCTCGGCTCACTGCAACCTCCGCCTCCCGGGTTCAAGTGATTCTCCTGTCTCAGCCTGCCAAGTAGCTGGGACTACAGGCACACACTACCAGGCCCAGCTAATTTTTGTATTTTTAATAGAGACAGGGTTTCACCACATTGGCCAGGATGGTCTCGATCTCTTGACCTCGTGATCTGCCTGCTTGGCTTCCCAAAGTGCTGGGATTACAGGCGTGAGCCACTGCGCCCGATCTAAGACTTCCTTCTTTTTTAAGGATGTGTAATATTCTATGTATAGACCACACTTTTTTTTTTTTTTTTTGAGACAGGGTTTCTCTGTCACCCAGGCTGGAGTACAGTGGCATGATCTTAGCTTGCTGCAACCTCCGCCCCCCGGGTTCAAGCGATTCTCCTGCCTCAGCCTCTCGAGTAGCTGGGAATACAGGCACGTGCCACCAGACCCGGCTAATTTTTTAATTTTTAGTAGAGATGGGGTTTTACCATGTTGGCCAGGCTGGTCTCAAACTCCTGGGCTCGGGTGATCAGCCCACCTCGGCCTCCCAAAGTGCTGGGATTACAGGTGTGAGCCACCGCATCCAGCCCACAATTTCTTTATCATCTATTGATAGATACGTTGGTTGCTTCCACCTCTTGGCTACTGCAAATAAAGCTATGATAAAAACATGGGTATGCAAATCTTTTTGAGATCTGCTTTGAATTCATTTAGATATATACCCAGAAGTAGGACTGCTGAATCACACTGAATTCCATTTTCAATTTATTTATTTTTATTATTTTATTTTATTTATTTTCTTTGAGACGGAGTCTCGCTCTGTCGCCCAGGCTGGAGTGCAATAGCGCGATCTCTGCTCAATGCAAGCTCCGCCTCCTGGGTTCACACCATTCTCCTACCTCAGCCTCCTGAGTAGCTGGGACTACAGGCGCACACCACCACGCCCGACTAATTTTTTTTTTTGTATTTTTAGTAGAGACGGGGTTTCACCATGTTAGCCAGGATGGTCTAGACTCAATCTCCTGACCTTGTGATCCACCCACCTCGGCCTCCCAAGGTGCTGGGATTACAGGCGTGAGCCACCACGCCTGGTTCCATTTTCAATTTATTTATGTATTTATTTTTGTGAGACAGGGTCTCATTGGGAGTGCAGTGGCATGATCATGGCTCACGGCAGTCTCCACCTCCCCAGGCTCAAGCAATCCTCCAACCTCAGCCTCCTGAATAGCTGAGAATACAGGCATGTGCCACCACCACACCCGGCAAGTTTTTTTTCTTTTTCTTTTTCTTTTTGTAGAGACAGGGTTTTGCCATGTTGCCCAGGCTGGTCACCAACTCCCAGGATCAAGAGATCCTCCTGCCTTGGCCTCCCAAAGTGCTGGGATTACAGGTGTGAGCCACCACACCCAGCCACTGTCTTTTCAAGTTCTTTACCCATTTTTAATTGGGTTATCTGTATTCTTATTGAGTTGTAAGAATTCTTTATATATTCTGAATTTAATTTGCTTATCAGATATATGATTTGCAAATATTTTATTCCAGTATATGACTTGTCTTTTTTTTTTTTTTTTTTTGAGATGGAGTCTTGGTCTGTCGCCCAGGCTGGAGTACAGTGGCACGATCTCGGCTCACTGCAAGCTCTGCCTCCCGGGTTCACACCATTTTCCCGCCTCAGCCTCCCAAGTAACTGGGATTACAGGCACCCACCACCACGCCCAGCTTATTTTTTAGTAGAGATGGGGTTTCACTGTGTTAGTCAGGATGGTCTTGATCTCCTGACCTTGTGATCCGCCTGCCTTGGCCTCCCAAAGTGCTGGGATTACAGGTGTGAGCCACCATGCCCAGCCTGTTCTTTTAATTAAAAAAAATTTTTTTTGTATCACTGAGAGTAAGGCATTTTTTGTTTTGTTCTGTTTTGAGACAGTCTTGCTCTCACCCAGGCTATAGTGCAATGGGGTGATCTCGGCTCACTACAACCTGTGTCTCCCAGGTTCAAGTGATTCTCCTGCCTCAGCCTCCTGAGTAGCTGGAACTACAGGTGCACACCACCATATCTGGCTAATTTTTGTATTTTTAGTAGAGACAGGGTTTCACCAAGTTGGTTAGGCTGGTCTCAACCTCCTGACCTCAAGTGATCTTTCCACCTTGGCCTCCCAAACTGCTGGGATTTACAGGTGTAAGCCACCATCCCTGCCCTAATTTTTTATTTTTTTGAGACAGAGTCTTATTCTCTCCTGGCTGGAAAGTACTAGCACAATCATGACTCACTGCAGCCTTGACCTTTCAGGCTCAGGTGATTCTCCCACCTCAGCCTCCTGTGCCATCATGCCTGGTTACTTTTTGTATTTTTTTGTAGTCAGGGTTTCGTCATGTTGCCCAGGCTGGTCTCAAAGTCTCAAACATCTGGACTGAAGCAATCCTCCTCCCTCAGCCTCCCCAAAGTGCTGGAATTACAGGCATGAGCCATCATGCCCAGCCTTTTTAGTTTTATTTTTTTGAAAAAGAGTCTCACTCTGTCACCTAGGCTGGAGCACAGTAGTGCGATCTCAGCTCACTGCAACCCTGTCTCCTGGATTCAAGCAATTCTCCTGCCTCAGCCTCCCAAGTAGCTGGGATTATAGGAGTGCACCGCCATGCTCAGCTAATTTTTGTATTTTTAGTAGAGATGGGGTTTCGCAATGTTGGCGAGGCTGGTCTCGAACTCCTAACTTCAGGTGATCTGCCCACCTCAGCCTCCCAATGTGCTGAGATTACAAGTGTGAGCCAACATGCCTGGACTATTTTTTTTTTTTTTTTTTAGACAGGGTCTCACTCTATTGTCCGGGTTGGAGTGCAGTGGTGCAATCTTGGCTCACTGCAAACTCCATCTTCTGGGCTTAAGCAATTCTCCCACTCAGCCTCCCAAATAGCTGGGACCTCAGGCATGTGGCATCACACCTGGCTAGTTTAATTAATTTATTTATTTTGGTAGAGGCAGTGGGGTCTTGCTATGTTGCCCAGGATTGTCTTGAACTCGTGGACTCAAGTGATTCTCCCGCCTTGGCTTCCCAAAGTGCTGGGGTTACAGGCATGAGCCACACTGCACCTGGCTAGTCTTTTGCATTTCTAAAGCCTGCTGGGACTTTGATAGGGATTCTGTTGAATCTACTGATCAACTTGTGGAAAAATTGCTATTTTTCTACTCAAACTAGCAAGGAAAAAAAAGAAACTATTACTGATGTGATGTGTATATGTGACAGAAGTAATGTTTCAGAAAAGATGATATCCAAGAAGTATGTAAACTAACTTTATGCAATACTGGTTTTGCTTTTAAAAAAAGGTGTAACCTTTCAGAAATATATACAGTACTGAAATATTTATGAATGAAACAGAATGCTGTCTGAGATTTAATGCCAAACAATCTGGGTTGAAGGAGTTAGGCCTAAACGAGATGGGCCATGTGTTAACTACTGAAGCTATGCAATGGATGTGGAAGGGGAGCCACATTATTCTCTTGTTTTGTATGTTTGAAAAATCTCATAATAAAAACATCCAATAAAACATTAGTGTAGTGTCAAATCATGGTATCATCCTCAGATTTTTTTCCCTAGAATTAACACTATGGCCTAAACTAATCTATTCACAAGACTTAAAAAGTCACCATTCAGTAATATACTCACCAGTAATTGCCCCATTCAATCATGGTTCCTGGCTGAAAACAGATTTAGATTTGGTTTGTTAGTTCTTCTGTGAAAAAAAAATACAGAAATAGCAAACAGCAGTAGAAAAAACATTAAGTGACAAAACTAACCTCAAAAACCCTTTTTTTTTTTTTTTTGAGACAGAATCTTGCTCTGTTGCCCACACTAGAGTGCAGTGGCTCAATCTCAGCTCTTGCAACCTCCGCCTCCTGGGTTCAAGTAATTCTCCTGCCTCAGCCTCCCGAGTAGCTGAGATTACAGGCACCCGTCACCAGGCCTGGCTAATTTTTTGTATTTTTAGTAAGAGATGGGGTTTCACCATGTCGGCCAGGCTGGTCTCAAATTCCTGACTTCAGGTCACCCACCTGCCTTGACTTCCCAAAGTGCTGGGATTACAGGCATGAGCCACCGCACCCAGCCAAAACTTTATTTTTTAATTTAATAGAGACAGGGTCTCACTATGTTGTTCAGGCTGGTCTCAAACTTCCTGGCTCAAGCGATCCTCCAACCTTGGCCTCCCAAAGTGCTGGGATTACAGGCGTTAGCCACTTTAATAATGCTGCTACATGGGGCTTTCTTTCTAGTTCTCAGTAGGAAAATTTCTAGAAAGTGTTATAAAATATTATTGCCTTTTACTCTTATCATGTTGTATAATTTGTTCAACAGTCACAGTGTTTATTACCTGCTCTCATTTAACCACAATAGATGTTACATATTGTACCTTATCCTGCACTTTAGGTCCTTCTTCTTTTTTTTTTTTTTTTGAGACAGAGTCTTGCTCGTCGCCCAGGCTGGAGTGTAATGGCGCAATCTCGGTTCACTGCAAGCTCCGCCTCCCGGGTTCACGCCATTCTCCTGCCTCAGCCTCCCGAGTAGCTGGGACTACAGGCGCTCGCCACCACGCCCGGCTAATTTTTTGTATTTTTAGTAGAGACGGGTTTCACCGTGTTAGCCAGGATAGTCTCGATCTCCTGACCTCGTGATCCGCCCACCTCGGTCTCCCAAAGTGCTGGGATTACAGGTGTGAGCCACCGCACCCGGCCAGTCCTTCTTCTTAAAAACAGAAATGTTATTTAGAAAAATCTCAAATAATAAGCATTATGTGTAAGGCCATAAAAAGCAAAAGAGCTTAGCCTTGGTAACAGTGTGAGACCCGGTCTTAAAAAAATATATATATATAGAATGCTAAACACACATCACAGAATGTACACACAAGTTCTGCTGTCAGCCTTACAAAGTGCTTGTGCTTCTTCACAGAGGAGCAAAAGGAAAAACTTCTATTTGTGTACTTACTCGGAGTTGGTAAGACCTGAGTTCATATATATTAGGGCCTGATCGTGGGACAGGCTCATTCCAGAAACTGAACTCCAACAGGAGCTGATTCTTCCTGGAGAGAAGCATGTCACTTCTTGCCTTACGAAATTCCAAAAATTCCTTTGAGTGAAAAAAATATGCTCATGAAATCTTCTGATACTTACATAAGTCCATTTCAGTAACATTTATGTTCCTACAGAATACTGTAATAGGGTAACCAACAGGTCCCAGATGGCCTGAGACAGTCCCAGTTTATATCTGTTGAGCTTGCATAATCATTAACAGCATTCCTTTTCATTCTCAAAAGTGTCCAGGTTGGCTGGGCGCGGTGGCTCAAGCCTGTAATCCCAGCACTTTGGGAGGCCGAGACGGGCGGATCACGAGGTCAGGAGATCGAGACCATCCTGGCTAACAAGGTGAAACCCCATCTCAACTAAAAAATACAAAAAATAACTAGCCGGGCGAGGTGGCGGGCGCCTGTAGTCCCAGCTACTCGGGAGGCTGAGGCAGGAGAATGGCGTAAACCCGGGAGGCGGAGCTTGCAGTGAGCTGAGATCCGGCCACTGCATCCCAGCCTGGGCGACAGAGCAAGACTCCCTCTCAAAAAAAAAAAAAAAAAAGTGTCCAGGTTTAGATGACAAATTACTTGGTCATCCTAATTATTTAGGTGGCAATGCAAACAAATTTAACTTGCTATACTTTTAGATTCTTCTAATAGTGTTTGATGGCACATCAATAGAAGTGGCATGCAGACTACAAAAGAGCAGATAATTCAAAAGCTATTTATATTTGTCTGGGACTCTATACAAAAGATTTTCTTTGTTAATGATGTGTGGCTTTTAAATTTCTCCCTACCAACAAGCACCTGCTAGTGAAGGGTGGGTGGAAAGCAAAGTCAGCCCAAGATAAACTCTATGTGTGTGACAGACAGTTCCTGAAGTAGACAGTTTTAGGTCATCGAGGGCTAATTGTGTGTGCCATGCTGATTGATACACCAGTCACCAGTTTTTTTGTTTTTTTGTTCTTTTGTTTTTTTTTTGAGGCAGATTCTCACTCTGTTGCCTAGGCTGTAGTGCAGTGGTGTGATCTCGGCTCACTGTAACCTCTGCCTCCTGGGTTCAAGCAATTCTCGTGCCTCAGCCTCCCGAGTAGCTGGGATTACAGGCGTGCACCACCACGCTTGGCTAATTTTTGTATTTTCAGTAGAGATAAGGTTTTGCCATGTTGTACAGGCTGGTCTCAAACTCCTGGCCTCAACTGATATGCCTGTGTTGGCCTCCCAAAGGGCTGGGATTATAGGCGTGAGCTACCGCACCCAGCCCAGTCACCAGTTTCAAAGTACCACCTTATCAGTTTCAAAGTATAATTGACTTTTATAATAAGAACAATAAGATTTTTTTTTTTTTTTGAGACGGAGTCTCACTCTGTTGCCCAGGCTGGAGTGCAGTGGCGCAATCTCGGCTGACTGTAAGCTCCGCCTCCCAGGTTCACGCCATTCTCCTGCCTCAGCCTCCTGAGTAGCTGGGACCACAGGCACCCACCATCACGCCCGGCTAATTTTTTTGTATTTTTTTAGTAGAGACGGAGTTTCACTGTGTTAGCCAGGATGGTCTCCATCTCCTGACCTTGTGATCTGCCTGCCTTGGCCTCCCAAAGTGCCGGGATTACAGACGTGCGCCAGCGCGCCCAGCCAGAATTGTTATTTTAATAGTATTACAACTGTTTATATTTAAATACAACTTCAGGAGTCCAAACAATACAATTTCTGTTACAAAAAAAGAAGTTCATTAACAAAAACTGAAGACAGAAAAGTCATTTAATTCCATACTAACATCTATATATCATTAGTCTGTAAACATTTTTCAAAATCATTACCTTATTTTCTCTGAGTTTATTCATGACTTCTGTGAGGGCTGGATAGCCTCCTTCATACCTCCAGAGGTGGACTGAAATGCATTTTAAAAGATAGTATACATTTAGAATTTCATGATACTACTTGAAAATATTCTAGATAGGTATAATGTTAACACAGCACAGAACTGTAGGCTGGGTGCAGTGGCTCACACCTGTAATCCCAGCACTTTGGGAGGCTGAGGCAGGCAGATCACTTGAGGTCAGAAGTTCCAGACCAGCCTGGCCAACAAGGTGAAACCCCGTCTCTACTAAATATACAAAAATTAGCTGGGTGTGGTAGTGGGCACCTGTAATTCCAGCTACTTGGGAGGCTAAGGCAGGAGAATCGCTTAAACCCGGGAGGCAGAGGTTGCAATGAGCCTAGATACATATCACTGCACTTCAGCCTGGGCAATAGAGCGAGACTCCATCTCAAAAAACAAAAAAACCAAAAAAACTGTAATACCCCATGTTTTGGCCTATGAGTTACATCATAATGATTCAATAATAGATTCAAACATTAAAAACAATTTTAAAACTGTTTTTGCAATGAATTGTTGAAGAAACTACTTTAATCATAAAATTAGACTGAGACTTGGAAAGCTTTGATGATAAGAACAAGCATTAAATTAGAAAATTACTTAAGTGTTACATAAGGCTTAAGGAAGAAGTGTTTATTCCAAAGACTTCGCTTCCTACCAGCTTGGTCCTGCTCGCCATACCACGTGTTCCAAGTCCCCACCAAAGTACAAGGGTAGTGTTTATCTTCGTGAATCTTTGGCAACACCTCTTGACTTAAAGAGAAGAAACAGCAACACTAATTAAACAACCAGCAAAATTTGACCAGGTGGACAGCACCTGATCAGTAACAGGAAAAAGACCACCTACTCTGTGTTCTAACAACTGACCTTAGCACATCCTCATGATAAAACGGCATGTGGAATTAACCTTTTGGCTGAATTCTGTTGTACTCCAACACCCTGCTGATCAGAAGCTTAGGTTTCTGATACCCCAACTATCTAGAGGAGTTGCTGAACCAGTATAAAGATGATAAAGAAAAACCAAAGGTGCCAGGATTTTGGGAGTTACGTGACTACTATTTTCCATTTGAGGGGGAAAAAAAAACAACATCACCAAAAAACATTCTGTTGGTTCCAAAGACAGGAAGAATGAGAGGGCAACAGTAGAAAAGAACACGGAAGAAATAAGAAAGATGGAAAGGGAAGAAAGTAATGTTCAAGACAGAGGCAGACAACACAAGCAGCATCAGCAGGCAGAGGTAACAAGAGCAGAAAACAAGCTGGCCTTCAGGAAGGAGCAAGAAGCAGAGCTGGAACACAACAGTCTGGAAGCGACCCTGACGTCCAACAATCCCCAAGGGCATCAACATGGCAGAAGAATAAAAATTAAAGATACAACGCGAAGCATAAATTACGTTCTACTCAATTCAGTGGGCCAAGGGGATGGGTGGGGTGTCATGTAGTCTCGCACCGAACACACGAACTCATTTCCACTCATTGTGCGGGGACAGGGGCAAAGCCATGACAGGTCACGGCAGTGTATGAATTTAACAGGGGTGTCAGAGTGGAGCTTGGTTCCATAGAAGCTTTCTTATGGTATAGACCCTAATGTACAGGGAAAGGCAAAGGGAAGAGTGTTAACTGTTTTATACCAAGAGAAAAGCTAAAACCTGCACACTTTCTGAATAGAATTTTTTTTTTTTTTTTTTTTTTTGAGACGGAGTCTCGCTCTGTCGCCCAGGCTGGAGTGCAGTGGCCGGATCTCAGTTAACTGCAAGCTCCGCCTCCTGGGTTTACTCCATTCTCCTGCCTCAGCCTCCCGAGTAGCTGGGACTACAGGCACCCGCCACCTCGCCCGGCTAGTTTTTTGTATTTTTTAGTAGAGACGGGGTTTCACCATGTTAGCCAGGATGGTCTTGATCTCCTGACCTCGTGATCCGCCCGTCTCGGCCTCCCAAAGTGCTGGGATTACAGGCTTGAGCCACCGCGCCCGGCCTGAATAGAAAAATTATGATGAAAAAGTATCATACAAATTCAACAATGGATGCAAAAGGGGATCAAGGGCAAGAAATGGAACCTGTTCACATTATATGCTGACACTGATATTTAGCTAGTGATCACCACCAGACACTGGGGCTACAGGACCGAGAGTATATAAGTACCACGTGCTAACCGATTGCGCCACTGGACCTCCGTAGGACCAGGGATATATAAATGGTTAACAGAGAAAAGTTCCAAATGGTCTATGTCTAACTAACTGAAAACCCATACATCTTTATGACCCAGTATAGTGACCACATCATGTGTACTTTTGGAAGAGTAGCATTTTACTTTTTAAATTAGGATCTGATATTAAATGTATCTAATGCGTGACTCATGAATGTTCAGAAATAACATGGGATCGGCCGGGCATGGTGGCTCACGCCTGTAATCCCAGCACTTTGGGAGGCTGAGGCGGGCGGATCACGAGGTCAGGAGATAGAGACCATCCTGGCTAACACAGTGAAACCCCGTCTCTATTAAAAATACAAAAAGAAATTAGCCAGGAGTGGTGGCGGGCGCCTGTAGTCCCAGCTACTCGGGAGGCTGAGGCAGGAGAATGGTGTGAACCTGGGAGGCAGAGCTTGCAATGAGCTGAGATCGTGCCACTGCACTCCAGCCTGGGCAACAGAGCGAGACTCTGTCTCAAAGAAAAAAAAAAAAAAAGAAATAACATGGGATCCATGAAAATCGAAGACAGGGAAAGAGGGATTCTGCTAGGGCAATGTATGTCCAACATTTCCCTTTGGTCGCATGACATGAGCAGGAAGAGACAACCCTGCATTGGAGGCAGTGTCCAGGAAGGAAGCCCAGTACACATGACTCAGGTGGGGTCCAGAGAGGGGTCTGGCAACGGGGCCTAGGTTTTTCACCAACACAAAGTTACATGTGGATTTGAAGCCACTCCTCTTTACTGGGGACCCCAAACCTGCTCTTGGGAGTCCTGGCCTTACCTGAATGGAGATTGTAAGGCAGGCAGTACTTGTACCCAGAACTGGATGGGTTGGGCAGAATCCCATTATTGGGACCCCTAAAAACCAGGCAGGAGTTAAGTCTTTATGTTCTGGAAACAGGGAGCTGCTGAAAGTTTCAGAGAAAAGAAAAAATGTGATGAAAAAAGAAAGCAGAACTCAAGCAGATCAATCTGACAAACTTTGGGGTAATGTATTGCAGGGCAGGGAAGAGATACAGGTACAGCCTGGAGCCCAGAAAGGTAGTCAGAAAAAAGGCACTTGGGAATGGGGCTCGAGAGGCTTGGAGAGGGAGATGGAGAAGGAAACAAGAGAACCAAAATACATGTCCGATGAAGAATGCACGGCTCTAGGTGACAGACAACTAAGGAACGGGCTGAGTAAAACAAGGTGAATGGCACAGACAGGGAAGTTGGAAGAGCAAGGTGATTCCACATGCTGAGTGTGAAGTGAGAGCACGACATCAAATAGAAATATGAAGACAGCCAGAAATCCAAGACAGGAGATGAAGTGATAAAACAGGACAGAAAAGGTAAAATCCAGGAAAACATCAGCATAGGGAAAAATTCCATTTTATGAGAAAAGACTTAAAAATAAATATCTGCTTTAAGGGCATTTTTTAATAAAGAGGTGCTGGAATGAGTAAGAAATTCAATACTATTATTACATTTCATAAGCTATCTTCAAAAACAAAACAATAAACAAAAAGTTTTTCTTCTAAAAAGTAGCTGATTATAGGGACAAAATTGTTTGCTTTCTTATGAAAGTAGTAGATATTAAAGGTTAAAAAAAAAACCTTTTTCTTCACATTTGCTCACAATGGATTATTAAAATACTATTTCTGTTAACTTAAAAGCCAGTAAGCTTAGTTCTCCCTTTCGTCTTAAGTTTACAAATTCTGTAAGCAGGTTTAGATCTCAAATCATAGGAGAATCAGCAGAAGGGACTTGGATCCTGGAGAACAGAGGAGTTGGGAAGAAATGGCAGCTATGTTCAAATACACACAGTACTCTCACAGGGCAGTTTTACTAAGGGGAATCAATGAAGGACTCAGAGATGTGAATTCTTACTCCTAACACTTAGAGCTGTCCAGAGATGGAACTTACTTCAGGACAGGCAGTGAGGAAGGTCTGTGGAAAGGACTCCAGCATTGGATAAGCAGATGGACTAGACAGCCTGGCAAAGTTCCTCCAAACATAAGAGTCTGGTAACATTCTAAAGTCTGATAGCCTATGTGATGATTTAGCTGTGTGAGTGCTTAAAATCAAAATGCCTTTGGCAATCCCACACGAAGCTCAGTTTAAGAGCCTCTGAATGTTCAACTTCAAAAGAGAGGGATGAAAAGCTCTCTCTCTATGCTATCAAGTGTTAGTGGAATTAACTCACAAATAAAGTCATTATTTTCCCCAAGGAAAGGAGAGTTTGGTATACACACCAAATTTTGTTGTATGCTTCTAGGCATTCCGGTTTAACATTGTGAACTGAAACAAAAGAAAATTCAACGATAAACTTAGGAACAAACGGAAAAAAAAGTCAACTATGAAGATAGCAAACCTGTCACTCACACTGTAATTTGTATAGATTGCTTGTTTCCTTTTTGGCTAGGAGATTGGAGTGGGCATCTTTTCTTGGATCAACTTTCCGGACAAATAAGGATTTTAGCCAGCTGTCTTCTCGAGATCTGTTGCTGGAAGATGTCCACGTCCTATGGAATAACAAAAGTGTTGTCACACAGTATACCGTTTTCATATATCCATCAGTTCACCTGGCAAACACACGGTGAGCAGCTATTCTAGGCACTGTTCCAGAATCTGGGCTACCACAGAATGTCTGCTTTCCATGACAACAGCATGCACTCCGAGAAGCAGAAGCAAAGAAAAATGTAAAATTTGTGGCATTCTTGTACGAGAGCCCACATTTATCTTTGCAATCTGTGCTATGTGTTTTTCAAAGCAATTTTTGACATAGAAAAAATATACATGGATACCTAAAGTAGATAAAACCACAGAGACAGAAAGCAGAATGGAGGTTGCCAGGAGGTGAGGAAAGGGGAGGTTGGGGTAAGGAGTTTCAGTTTGGGAAGATGAAGAAATTCTCAAGATGAATGGTAGTGATGTTTCCCCAAAATGTGAATATACTTAATGCCACTGAACTGTATGCTTAAAAATGGTTAAAATTGTTAGTTTTATGTTACGCACATTTTGCCATAATTTAAAAAATATTGCTTGATTTGGAAACAGATAGTGGTGATGACTGTACAACACTGTGAATATAATGCCACTGAATTATGCATTTAAGATAGTTTAAATGGCAAATTTTATGTATATTTTTACATGTTTTACCACAATAAAAATATAAAAAAATACAGGGAAAATGAAATAATTTCTTTAAAAAAATTTTACTCCTCAAGTAAATTAAAAATCAAGATTTGTAAAAATTAACTTTAAAAATCAAGATTTTTAAAGCTGCCCCCACAAACCTCAGAATACCAACTTTATTAACACATAATTTGCTAATTTTCATCTTATAATTAAATTTCTATTATGAATGCTTTCAGAAAGTGAGGATAAATTTGACTCAAGTCACAAACTATACTTTACCCATGAATTTTTTTCTTTCTTTTTTTGAGACTGGGTCTTGCCCTGTCACCCAGGCTGGAGTGTGGTGGTGCGAGAGCTCACGGTAGCCTCAAATTCCTGGGCTCAAGTGATTGTCCCACCTCAGTCCCCTAAGAAGCTGGGACTAGAGGCACACATCATCTTGCACGGTTAATTTTTAAAAATTTTTTGTAGAGATGGAGTCTTGCTATGTTGCCCAAGTTGGTCTGAAACTCCTGGCCTCAAGCAATGCTCCCACTTCAGCCTCTCAAAGTGCTGGGATTATAGGTGTAAGCCACTGCAACTGGCCCTACTCACAAATTTCTATGTGCATGTTGAACTCCCATATGCCAGCTAATAGGAATACAAATTTGTTGACCTCCCTCGAGGGCGGTATGGCATCATCCATATCAAAATGGAAACCGTGTATGACTTCAGCCCAATAATGACACTTGCGGTGATGTCCTATGGCCAGCTATATTTAGACAGGTGCACAAAGTTGAATGCACACAAATATTCATTGCTGTCTTGTTTCCAGTTTTCTCCTGGCACAGGCCATTCGTACAGCCATTAATGCAGATTGCTCACATAAATTAGGAAATACTCCACGTCAGAAATTATGCACTCAATAAAAAGAATGAGGTAGATTTACATGCACTGATGTGCTGACATCTCCGAGATAAATTCTGTAAAAAAGCCAGCACAGAACAGCACTATATATACGTATACAGATGAAAATGTTAAAGAGTGATGACATCTGGGGAACATGACTGGGCCTGGGTGGGAGTAAAGGTTTTTTCTTTTCATTGTATAACCTTCTGAACTATCTGAACAATTTCTACACACACACACTTTTTTGAGACAGTCTCACTCTGTCGCGCAGGCTGGAGTGCAGTGGCACCATTTCGGCTGACTGCAACCTCCACCTCCCAGGTTCAAGTGACTCTCCTGCCTCAGCCTCTGAGTAGCTGGGACTACACGGTGGGCCACTATGCATGGTTAATTTTTGTATTTTTAGTAGAGACAGGGTTTCACCATGTTGGCCAGGCTGGTCTTGAACCCCTGACCTCAAGTGATCTGCCCACCTTGGCCTCCCAAAGTGCTGGGATTACAGGTGTGAGCCACTGCGCCTGGCCTATTTTTATATTTGAACAATAGCCAAAATATCTAAAAGTGCATATTTTAGTATCCCTCTACAGATAAGGTAATTCCCTATAACCACTGAAAATAAGATTCTAAAGAACAGAACCTGGATGAGACTCATCCTCTTCTGAACTTTTTTTTTTTTTTTTTTTTGAGACAGAGCCTCACTGTGTTGCCCAGGCTGGAGTGCAGTGCTGCAATCCCGGCTCACTGCAACCTCCGCCTCCTGGGTTCAAGCAATTCTCCTGCCTCAGCCTCTCTAGTAGCTGAGACAACAGGCGCACACCACAACACCCAGCTAATTTTTTGTATTTTTAGTAGAGATGAGGTTTTACCATGTTGGCCAGGCTGGTTTTGAATTCCTGACCTCAAGTGATTTGCCTGCCTTTGGTCTCCCAAAGTGGTGGGATTACAGGTGTGAGCCATTGCGCTCAGCCCTCTTCTGAACTTTATGTAACCATTATCAAATGACAAACTGCGTTTCCTTCATCTTCTTGGTTTTTGTTCACATCTATGTACAATAAAACGTACCTTTTTGGCAGACAGTACTATGAGTTTTGACAAACGCCTAAAGTCATGTAACCACCACCACAACAGTTTCTTCACCCCTTGAAGCTCCTCCTTTTATAATCAACCTCTCTCCCCACCTCTAGCAACCACTGCTGTGTTCCTTGTCCCTCAGTTTTGCCTTTTCCAGAACATCGTATGTATGGAATCATACAGAAGGTAGCCTTCTGAATTCCTGTCCCTTCTTTCTGCACAATCCCTTTTATAACTGGTTATCTTACCTCTGGCCAGTTCTATCACAGCATACCCTTTACACTTTTGTTCTCTTTTTATTTTTGAGACAGGGTCTCACTCTGTTGCCCAGGCTGGAGTATACTGGTGTGATCACGGCTCACTGCAGCCTTGACCCCCAGAGCTCTAACGATTCCCCACCTCAGCCTCCAGATTAGCTGGGACCACATATGCACACCACCATAACTGGTTAATTTTTGTATTTTCTGCAGAGAATGGGTTTTGCCATGTTGCCCAGGCTGGCCTTGAACTCCTGGCCTCAAGTGATCCTCCCGCCTTGACCTCATGAAGTGCTGAGATTTCAAGCGTGAGCCACAGTGCCCAGCTACTTTTGCTCTCTAACTGACCTACACATAGATCTTTTTCGCCTTTTCCGAGATCAGTAATGTGCTGGGATTCCAAATGGCTAGCATAAATGCCCAGAATCTTAGTGCTTCTGGACATAAAGGTCCAGATGCTGATGGGCTAGTGTGAACCTCTTCTTGGGGATCTCTTTAGAAACACTAGATGATTTCCTACAACAGTATTTCTAATCTGCTTGGCAGACTTGCTTAAGGACCCAGATACCACCAGGTAAACATTAAGAGGAAAACAGAGAGCAACTCCAAGTATTAAAAGGGGGGACCAGGAATTTAAACAAGGGACAAGAGAAACTCTCATCAGAGCAAATTCCCCAGTACTTCATGAAATGAACATATGGATTTTATAATACAACAATACAAACTCCTATTCTTATGCAGCAACAGTATTTTAGAAGTAGGGCTCTAAATTTCACACAATACTGGTAGCCTTTTTCTTTTTTCTTTTTTTTTTTTGCTTAAAAAATCAGTTTCCTGCTTTGTTTATTTTTGAGGCTGGGTCTCACTGCACTTGCTGAAGTGCAGTGGTGCAATCTCGGCTCACTGCAACCTCTGCCTCCCAGGTTCCAGCGATTCTCCCACCTCGGCCCCCTGAGCATCTGGGACTACAGGTGCACGACACCATATCCGGCTAATCTTTGTATTTTTAGTAGAGACGGGGTTTCGTCATGTTGGCCAGGTTGGTCTTGAACTCCTGGCCTTAAGTGATCCGCCAGCCTCAGCCTTCCAGAGTGCTGAGATTGCAGGCGTGAGCCGCTGCGCCCAGTCTAGTTTGCTGCTTTCTTGAACAAACATTACAGAACAATTTTCTCCCCAATATGATTTTTTTTAATTTAAAAACCAATTCATAGGATATGATCTCAAATAGGTAGAAACCGGATATAAAGATTTTTGAATGACGTGAACTTACAAACATAAAAAATACAAATATATTGGCCAGGAGTGGTGGCTCACGCCTGTAAATCCCAGCTCTCTGGGAGGCCAAGGCAGGCGGATCATCTGAGGTCAGGAGTTCAAGACTAGCCTGGCCAACATGGTGAAACCATGTCTCTACTAACAATCCAAAAAAAAAAAAAAAAAAAGGTGGGTGTGGTGGCACACGCCTGTGATCCCAGCACCTCAGGAGGCTGAGGCAGGAGAATAGCTTGAACCCAGGAGGTGGAGATTGCAGTGAGCCAAGATCACACCACTCTACTCCAGCCTAGGCAATACAGCAAGACTCAATCTCAAAAAAAAAAAAAAAAAAAAAAAAAGAAAAAGAAATTAATAAAGCATACTCTATAAATAATGATAAAGAAACATAAAAGCACTTTTTCACATCCTTCAAAGATTAAAAAGAAGCAAACTCACTTTAAACAAGAAAAATAACAATACCAGTAAATGCAATTTTCCTTGAAAGTGCATAAGATAAAAACATATAGTATTAAGTGGCATTTGCAGATGTAAGTTGAAGATGCTTCCATTTTGCATTTACTATACAATAAAATTTCTAAAAATTAAGAAAGCATTAATAGTGGTTTCCCTAAGACAATGAGAGAGGGTTTAAAGGGATAGAGGGGAAAGACACAGAACTTTCTCCATATAATGTCTATATTGTGCTTTTCTCTTCTGTATTTTTTTTTTCTTGAGACAGGGCCTCACTTTGTCACCCAGGCTGGAGTGCGGTGGCGTGATCTTGGCTCACTGTAGCCTTGACCTCCTGGGTTCAAGCTATGCTCCTGTCTCAACCCCTCCCAAGTAGCTGGGACTACAGGTGCCCAGCACCACACCCAACTAATTTTCGTGTTTTTTTGTAGAGACAAGGTTTC